AGAATTACTACTCAACCACATCTCTTGGTTAGTAAGGTTCTTAAAAGCAGGTATTTTCCCCATTCCTCCATTTTTGAAGCATCTAAATCCCAGAATAGCTCATGGCTTTGGAATAGCTGGATGGATATCTTCCCTACTTTCTCAAAAGGTTTCAGAATTCAAATCAGAAATGGCATGGCAACCAAAATAGCTGACAGCAATTGGGTTCCCTCACTGCCATATTCCAAACCTTCTTTGATGGAGTTAGCTAGGGATCACTTGATATGGGTCAAAGATTTGTTCAACAGCAATGGAAGGAGCTGGAATGAGTGGCTGGTGTCCCAGGTATTCAATGCAGAGGAAACTCAAGCCATTCTCCAAATCAATTCTCTGAATCCTAGTCAAGATGACCTGATGTACTGGAATTTTGATAAAAAAGGCAAGCACTCAGTATCTTCCTCCTACTCTCATCTAATTAGTCAGAAAGTGGTTGATATGGACATTCCTCAGAGTAGCTCATCTCAGTCTGTCATCACAAAAGCCAGAACAAGAACCTGGAAACTAAAAGTGCACAATAAACTCAAACATTTTCTCTGGAAGTGCTGCAGTGACACTCTACCTGTTAAAGAAAATCTGCTGAAAAAGGGTCTTAATCTTGATCCTACATGTCAAAGCTGTGGTGCTGCAACTGAAACAGTCAACCATGTCCTCTTCCATTGTGTCAAAGCCCAGCTAGTATGGCACCTCAGTCCAGTGACTTGGGATGGTATTGCCACTGAAAATTTAAAGTTTCAGGATTGGTGGTGGCAAGTTTGTTCTCTTCCTCGAACAGAAATTGCAGAGGCTCGCATCCAACTCACCACATATATACTTTGGTGGCTATGGAAGTCACGCAACCTGTGGATTTTCCAAGCAAAGCACCTGCCGGCAAGAGTAGCTGTCTTGGCGGCAAACAGGGATTGGCTGGAATTCTTGGCAGCAAATAATCAGTAGGATTTCTTTTCTTCTTTTGTTTCTGCTTTTCTCTTTGTATTGTGTTTTTTTGGACTTGCTGTGAGTGTTTTAGGATCATTCTACCCTTTCTGATTGGGGTTAGTCTGCTGTAGTAGGCATTTGGCAGTGCTATTGTATGACTAGTCCTTGTATGTATTTTTTCTTGTTGCGTCTTGCTCCCGTCTATGGGACTTTTAGGCCGCTTTATAGCGTGTCCTCCCTGTTTTCNTATTTTTTTTATTATTTGTTATTTATTCAATTATGTTTAGATGTATACATATTTGACTGTTTAATATATGTGATTTTTTTTTCATAAGCTTATCAAATGTTGTCAATGCCTATAATGTTATACAATATATTTGTATATAAAATTATAAATAACTACATTTTTGTATATTTATTTTTCTAATATTATTAATTTTAACAACCCAAAAATCATATTCTGTTCAATAAATATTTTAACTCATCAGATTTACTTTATTTTATTAATTTGTATTGACGATTGTATGAAATATCATCCATTTGATAGTTAAATTTTGCTTTTAGAATATTTATTTATTTTAACTTTATTTAATGTCTATATTTTGATACTATCTTTTCGTTATATATAATTCATATGTTTTCATGTCATTATTTCAATGAGTACTAGTAATAGTTTTTAATTATGACACTTGAGTATAAATTATTTTATTTACTCATTTTTATTAACAAATATATAATTATAATTTTAGTTTTCTCATAAATTGAATTGTTTTAATCGATAATTATAATTTTTGTTTTCTCATAAATTGTCAAACAGCTCACGCCCAGCCATTGAATCGACCAACTTGTCGATTATTGGTAGCAATTAGTAGTAGTCTTTTCGGCATGCCTTATTGAGGTCTCTGAAGTCGATGCACATTCCCCACTTTTACTCCGACTTTGACACCATCACAGTGTTGGACAACCATTCTGAAAATTGGATCTCCACAATGTGACCAAGTTTTAGTAACTTGTTGACCTCTTCCGCAATCACTTTATCCCTTTCGGCCTCATGATGCCTCATCTTCTGCTTCACTTGCCTCACCTTTAGGTCAATATTCTACATGTGCTCGATAACACTAGTATCTATGCATGTGAGCTCCTCCAAGGTATAATCAAAGATATAAAAAAATTCTCTGATCAAACTGACAAGCTCCAACCTGAAAGAGTGCCAATTATCCCCCAATCCGAAATTTTCTGTCATCGCTACCTTCTAATCCTTTGGATTTCCTCGATCTCCTTGCCTGGTTGGTTGTCGGCTTTCTGCATTCCCTTATCTACCTTCAACCTCTCCTCCACTTTTCCTCGAGCTGCTCGACCTGTTAAATCCATCGTCCTTCAGATCTTCCCTTCTCCTTGCATTATGCCTGCCAGTCGTCACTGTGATCTGATAACACGTCCCCGAGGTGAGTTGGTCCCCTACAACCTCTCCAACCATCTCGCCCACTGGTTACTTAATCGTCATGTAATAGGTTGAGATCACCACCTGAGAGGCATTCAAGATCATCCTTCCCAAGATAATATTGTACGCGGATTCAACATCCACCTCCACAAACCTCACCATTTTCACATTCCTGGTCAAGCCTGTCCCCAAGGTAACCGACAAGGTGACCTCACCCATAGGGAAGACTTCCCCTCCATTAAAGCCATATAGCGATGACGACCTCTTTCAATTCGACATCAAGATCCATCTGTTTGAAATAGCCATAAAACATGACGTCCACTGAACTCCCCGTATCAACGAAGACTCGTTGCACATCGTACTTGGCCACCTATGCCTTAATCACCAAGACATCATTATGGGGAACATCCAATCCCTAAACGTCCCCATCTCGAAAGATGATCAGTGGTGCTCTTGCTGCAACGCTGACCTCCTCTCATTTCCGCTTCTCCGCTCGAGCATGCTCCTTCTAGCATTGTTCGAGGTCCATCCGTTGGACCTCCTGAAATCATATTAATGACCTAGTCCTCCTCGAATGCATGATCTTCCCTTTCCCTATACCTTTTTCCTCCATCATCTCGACCACCCCGGTCATCTCAATCGCCATCATCTCGATCATCCCTTTCATCTTGATCTTCCTGACATCCTATTCTGTCCTTATTTTCCCTGTCCTTATACACGAATTCCATAAGGTGATAATCCCTAATCAACCTCTCGATCTCATCCTTCAAGTGCCTTTGTGGCATGTCCATAATCTTTGTGGAACCTACAATAGTGACCTGATTTTGGCTGTGTTAGGCCATCCCTCCTCGACTTAGGCCATGTCACCATACGACCATCGAACCTTCTCTCTATTGTTTCGAGCACCTTGACCATGTGTACTTTCAGCGGTGTGTATTTATCATATCTCTGGCCATTCTTATGAAGTCAATCATGCCACATGTCATCCATTTTCCTCTCTGATTTATCCTTTTCAGGCGAGCTCGCCCTCCCTTTTTTAACCTCATATTGAGCCATCTGCTCGAGCTTAGAAAACTCCTCGGCCTTCTCTATATTTACATATTTCTTGCGCCTCTTTAGCACCTCATCACAAGTTCTGGCTGGTGTCTTAGCAAGGGAGCTTTGACACAGACCAGCCCATATATTCCTGATTAGACTTCCAGCCATGACTTCGTTTGAGGCCGAAGGTATCTCCACGCAAGCTCGATTGTACCTGGCCACATTATTTTTCAAAGATTCCCCACTTTATACCATATATTGATTAATTTATTTTCTACAGAAAAACCATCAAATACCAAATATAAATTCGTCCATTTTATACCATATATTGAAGACTTTGTATTCCAATTCGCATTCAAAGTCTACTGCTCGATCTATGCCCCATATTGATTAATTTATTTCTTGATACTGTAAATATAAATTTACTATTTTAAAAATGATCAAACATTTTTCTATATAGATAAAGTAAGATATATTACAAGTTTTACGGCATGAAGAAAAAATATCCAACAAAATTAGGAGATTATTATTCACCGCATCCTTATTACTATTTACCGCCCCCCTTGGACATTTTTGCTCCTGCCATTTTTTTCCATAAAGTAAAAAAAAAAAAAAATTTGTCCGGCCGCCGAAACCGGATAGCCCAAATGGCGTCCGGCCCCGACGGCTGGTCGGACACCATGATTTTTCTTTTTTATAAAATAATATTATTATAAATTATTATGTTATATATTCAAAATAATTTGTTATAAATTGGACGTTAGAATAAAAAAAAAACTCATTCAACTGAAGTTTAGCAAAACAAAAAAAAACATTCAACTTTAAAATGAAAAAAAAAGTACCATTGATGCGATTTTCGATTGCTCTGTAACACGAACGAGCCTGTCTCTGCAATCGAAAAATTATGTATTGATTCAGGGTCTACTAACACCCTGAATCAAAAATATAAAATAATAATTAGTAAATATTTTTTTGCTAACAAATTACATATATATTTTTTAATATATTCTTTAACTATATTTATATATATATATATATTTTAATAAATATATATATATATAATTTTTGTAATACAACTAATTATTAATATATATATATATATATATTTAATATATCTTTTATTTAACTTTTTTTAAGTGAAATTAATTATTATTAAAAAGTGAAATTTTTTACCCATTTAAATAGTGATTAATTAATTTAATAATATTTAGTAATTATTATTATTCTGATAATTAAAAATATTTTTTATCCAATAAATTAATTAATATACTTTTTATTTATTAATATAATATATTTTTTTTTTAAATTATATTAATTTTTTTACAAATAAATTAATTTAACTAAACTTGTTCGATATTTATTCGATTGAAAATGAAAACCAAATTATCTCTCTCATATCTCTCTCACACACGTCTGTGTACCAAAACCACGTTCAACTATTGTAAGCATTTATTTGTAAAATATAATCGATGATCGGACAATTGAGTATGAAAAGTTATTTGTTCATGTTTTTAGTTGGGCTGTTATGAGAAGGGATTTAGGCAGCAACAGTCGGGATCTATTTATTTACTGTTTAAAGTGCAATATAATTACGACTTCAATTTAATAATTATCGAATCTCTGTCTCGTTCAAGCGGTTGACCTTTCTTCTTCCCTTTCCCAACTTAGTAAAAGCATTCGTCACCCTCTCTCTTTCACTCTCTCTCTATCTCTCTTAGGGTTATCTATCTGGCGATGGCTTCTTCCTCAAGAATGTCGTGCTTCCAGTGCCACGATTCCAGCTCCGCCCCAGACTCCTTCAGAAACGGGTGGCGCCTCCGCAGCGGCCACCACGCCCACCTCTGCCCTCGTTGCGCGTCAGTTGAAAACCAACCTTCTCACACATACACGCACATTTCTGTTTCTAAATTGGTGGAAGTTTCTATGTGTTCTTTTTTTTTTTCTATTGATACTGATTTGGTGCGACAGTTAATACTGAGTTCCTAAATTATGTTTAGTATTCATGTCAATTGTGATGGGTTTTGGGCGGGGGATTGCGTTTACTTGCTTCTCAAGCAAACGACGAACTGGAGTGACTCCTTTTGTTTCATTACTTATCGTGTCTAGATTTTAATCCCGTTGAAGGTTGATTCCCGTTAATACTGATTACTGCACTTCTGTTGAGAATTTGGATTAATGTTTTGGAGATCTCACTGCTATTACATGGACACACACAAATGCAATAATTTAATCAGAATTGTTGACTGCCTCTGACACCTGAGACAATCCAACTAAAGAACAGAGCCGCTTCTCTGCTAATCCTTAGTTTCCAGGGTTATTGATCGTTTGTGTTGGTCGTTCGGTCTCAATTTACTCGGACATTCATTTTTTGTTTTGGTTTTTATGTAGTTGAGTTAAGCAACTTAGACGAGGGTTTGGACGTTTTACATTTTCTTGTATCCTGTATTGTCCATACAAGATACATGGAATTACGTTCAGGTTCATGCTAACAGTTATCTATGGATTATTGTCACCTTTGCCTTTTCACATTAAGATGGTACATTTTGTCTGCTGAGCTTTGGTTGGAGTCTTGACCAAAATTACAGGGCAGATTGATTGCTGTAATTGAAAGAGATAAAGTTTGAGTTCAAGTAACTAACTTGGTTCCCTGGAGGAGCATCACAAACACAAAACTGCAATGAATTTTGAGGATGTGAATTAATTACAAGCTAACTAGCCCCTAAGATGTATGCAATATTTCCTAGGCAGCTCATAGATCCCTAGTGGATATTTTTTTGTCCTAATCTGCATTTTCAAACTGTATCCTAATTGATCTATTAGTTTTATGTATGCAGTTCGTTATATGAAGAAGGAAGATTCTGTGAGACCTTCCATTTGCATGATGATGGTTGGAGAGATTGTGAATCTTGTGGGAAGGTCAGTGCATAAAATTGTTGCTGATTTTCTTTCCTGTTATATGAAAAGATATTATTTCGTTTGTCGATGTTAAATCTTTAATGTTTTTTGTTGCAGTCGATCCATTGTGGATGTATAGCATCTTTCAATAGTCATTTTCTATTAGACGTTGGTGGCATAATCTGCATGGAATGCTCAAGGCTAAATTTTCTTTTGGTAGGACAAATGGACAGCCCTTTTTAATTTTATTACAAAGCATCAGATTACTGATGTGCTTTTTATGAGTGCTTCCGAGATTACTCTTATGGCTTAAATTTACCTATGTTTAGTAATTGCAATGAGATATAAAATTCCTAGAGGCCTAGATTTCCTGTTAACATGTATTTACAGTCTCCCATAACACTTAAGTTTCACGGCGTTTTGGATTAATACTCGGGTATGATGAAGTTAGATGACATGAGTTTGCATCACATAAGCAAATCTTCATGTATACAACCAGTTGAAATGAAATTAGGTGGAATTTATTACTAATGACTTTGTTAAATGAAAAAAATAAAGCTAAATTTGAAGTGTCATCAGTCACAACATAAATTCCAAAGGACAAAGTGAGAAAGGAATACAAAAAATTTGTCCTTGTTAAGCAATCACCTGCAATCCTAATGTTTTACACTTTTTTCCTGGACTGACAAAGTAGAGGTAAACTTATGACTGCAGGCTCGAAACCAATGTATGCCTCTTGACCCTGATACAACAGTGTGTGAATCTGGTCCGGAACCATCTGGCAAAGCTTTGGCAGAAGCCCAGTTCTGGCCTCGAGTGACTGATCTGGAGATGCCACAATGCTCTAGAATGTATCCTCATTTTACAAGTTTCAATATTCTGCAAAAAGAAGCTCTTAAGATTCGTTGTTTTTTCTTCTGAAATTAGAGGGCAATTTAGGGAGCTAGAAATTTCCCGAATTTCCTTAAAGTTACTCTTTGAAGTTACTCTATCATAAATGCACGTCTTTTTTTAATGATATGGTCCTTGACTACATTCTAGCCCCAACGCTACTGTCACTCCTCTGTTTGAAAAGATATTGACTACTAGTGATGCTGATCTCAAACTAGCGCGCCTAATTATACCTAAAAGATGTGCAGAGGTAGCTGAATTCTCCTGCCTTATCTTGGCATATTTTTAGTGGTAAACTACGAGAACCATCCATGGTTACAAATTACCCAATTATGTTTAATATCATATATGCATGGTTTATAAATGTCATGTTTCAACAATTTATATTTATATATAAATATTTTTTCTTCTGTGATTAGGTTGAACCCCAAAGGTATTCACTAACCCTTATTATTTTTGTGTCACCGAGCATTTACGAAACTCGTTCTCAAAACAGTCTTCCTTCCCTAATATTTCTGGCCCGGATGGCTTGCACATCAAAATACAAGATATGGAAGGCAGTGAATGGGAATTTCACTACAGATATTGGATCAACGGTGGAAGTAGGATTTATGTTCTCGAGGGGCTCAGAGATTATATGGTCGCAAAGAACTGGCAGGCAGGCGATACTGGTACTCGTGATTTATTTTCTATGATATAATGATCTTGTCTAACCTGTGTTGCTAGGGACTGCAAATAAAGTCTGCCATGATTATCAAGATAAGAATAATTTGTTACTGTTAAGGAGATGGTTATGGTCTTCAGTTAGTCTTTGATAAGAATCTCATTTCATTCATGTGGCTTGCATATCCAGTGTTCTAAGGTTCCAGGAGAGTGATAAATTGAGTATTATCCATTAGTTTGTCACCCTTTTACAAGTCACTTTCTTTTAATAAGAATGAAATTAACCAGAGCTCATTGTTGAGAACAGTTTGTATGAATCATAGTATTTTCCTTTCTATTTTTCCAGTTACATTTTATCGAGTGGAACCCGGAGGAAAGGTAATAATGGGATTAAGAAGGACCTCTGTTGGCTAAGACCTTCCAAGCGAGGACAAACTCAATTGGTATTTCCTTTTTATCAGAATCTAACACCAAGNTGTGCTTCCTAGATGGTTGGCTAATATTTGCTTATATTTTTTGCATTTTGTGTCTTCATTTTATTTTTGTATGCAACTTTGTTTTCTAGAGTGGTTGAGAATTGTGTGTCTGTTTGGTTCTTCCGAGTTTAGAAGCTTTCTTTGAAAGCTTGACTTTTTTCAGATTCTTATCTTAGATGTCTCCTGAATTGAATTTTTCTTCTTTGGTGTTGCCAGTGGCAGAGTGGTAGATCATATGATCTGTTGTAAATAAATGTGTTGTAAATAAATGCAGTATTATTGTACGAGAGATATATTATCAAATAAATGTCATCTAGTCGAATTTGATTTTGGTTTTTATTAAATTTGTATTTTGTAAAATTGTATTTCCTTGTTTCTTATAGGAGTTGCTTAAAGGCTTTCTCTCTCTAAAACTCTCTCTGCCGAAAATCCCTAATCCCGTCTAGCCCCCTTCGAGTTTTTCTGACGTCTTCCCCAACATGGCTTTCTGAGCTTTTGGCGGTGTTGCCCTTGGGCCTCGTGGCCTGTCTGGAGAATCGCCGCCTGGAGGTGTTGTTCTTCACTGGGGAGGAGGATGCGCTCGTCCCCTGTCTAGGTCTTATCGTGGTTATGGTGCTTTAACGGAGTGGGGAGCGGTTGATTCCCGAGTGTCTTCGTTGTGGTGGTCCTCCGGCTTTTCTTCAGCGGATCCAAGTTTTTCGTTCGTGGGGATTGAGGTGGAGGGTTTTGCCCTGGTCCTCTTCGGCCTTGGTGTTGGGGGGAGGGGTCCGTGAAGTGAGTCGAGGTTTGTTTGGGTATGAGTTGGTGGTGTTAGTCTGGGTGTTTTTGGTGGTGAAGGTCTTTGGGTGTGGGTTGGTGATGTCCGTTTGGATTGGGGTTGGGTTTGTTGGTGTCGAACCCAGTTAGGCGTTATTTTGCAGTTTCTGTGTTGGGTTTTTGGGCCGACAACTTCAGAAGCAGCAAAAGAAGCAAAAGAGGCAATATGGCTCAAAAGCTTTTTGGTGGACTTAGAGGTGATTTCGAGTTTACCACACAATATCAAAGTTTATTGTGATAACAGTGGTACAGTATCAAGCTCAAGGGAACTACGAGCCCCAAACCAGTAAACACATAGGCTGTAAATACTACCTAATATGAGAAATCGTTGGGAGAAGAGACGTCGAGGTTGCCAAGATTGCATCAGAGGACAACTTAACTGATTCTTTTACAAAGAGTCTGCCGGGAAAGGTCTTCGCCAGACACATGGAAGGAATGAGAGTCAGTTGTGGTGCTAGGATCGATATAGGTCTTTTAGAATAAGGCTTGATAAGATGTATACTAGAAAAGCGGAAGCTTAAAATATACGTGGGAGATTGTTAGTGTATATACTATATACTGAATGTTTTGCTTTAGATATTATTTACACTATTTATTTTGAATGAGAATTCACGTTTGATTATACAAGTTCTGTGTGTTGTATTGTTTTGCATTTAGATAAATGGTTCATCACGGATGGACAGAACATCATTTATCAGTGACTTGCAAAACATAAAGGAAATGTTCACAACCTGGATGAATATTGAACAAGCCATCGGAACAGTTGTAGTGTGAACATTACAGTCGGTGATTTGAGTGGAAAATCAGACGGTCTCCATCAACGGAAATCTATAACATCTCAGAGTCTGTGATTTCGAGCCATAAGTTTTCTACGTTAAACTTTAGATCCGCTGCGCATAAGTTTATTTGTAGATTAATTCGTGACTTGCACAATTACGACGATCCTCATAGATCACAACAACCCATAGGGCTCGCAACTTGCAACGGCCTTGACGAGGTGGCCTGAGGCCCGTAAAGAATGCAACGACCATGACACCAGGTGGCTTGCTTCCCTTAGGGTTCGTGACAGTCTTGGACTCAGCACATGCTGAGTAGGGAATTTCGTGGAGTCCACGTGGCGCACATAGAGTACAAATCGCCCAAGTTTGTTACTTGACCTAGTGGTGGGGATGTCCACCAAGTGGCCTTAGGCTTATAAATAGGCCCTGGGCTGCACCGTTTTAAGGCATCGAGTTGTGCATAACCTTGGCAGTTTTCCAGCAAGCAATTGAATAATTATAGTTGTTGGTTAGGCATGGCCCATAAACTCTTTTGTGTTGCCTTTGTGTGTTTGGCTTGTGCAATATACACTATTCCAACTTCATATTGTGAGCCGAATGTTTAGTGAGTGACTGAGGGCTAACTGATTTGGCGAGAATCAGGCCGCATAGGGCATAAGAAGGATAAAAAAATTAGCCTACGAGTTACCATGTAACAGGTACCATGACTACAATTGGAGGCGCCCGCATTGCGTCTCACAACTTCCTTGTGGAGGCAAGGATTGAAAGGTTGTCTTGCTGCTTGCCCACCTGTTCGAATGAAGATCCAAAAACTATTACATCACATTCACATTTATAGGATAATGAGCACGAACAAGAGTTATCCACATAAACTATACTAGGAAGATTGCGGTGGAAACAAATCTTATAACCAAAGAGGACGGCATCGTTCATAACCATCGACTCTTGTGCACAAAATTGTTTTCGCATCTAGAGGTGAAGTTCAAGTTCTTTGGGCCCCCGAGCGAGATTGGGGGTTTGTTGGACCAAACCTTTCGGTCCATCTATAAGAACCCATCTACATTGGGCCTCACGATGGCGGTGGTTGGTGGGAAAGATGGATATAAACGACATTGCTTTTTGCAAAGGCAATAAGAAATGCGTGTTTGATGCGGTACAATTGTACAGTGTTTTAAATACCGTAGCGGTAATCATATTGAACGAGCCAACGATACTCGGTTCAACCGGTTCGACCGGTATTACCGTCTATTTTACCGGTTTCAATAAATATTAAATTAATTTGTTATTATAATATAAATGTTGTCCAAAACTAACTTTAAATAAAAGTAAAATTAATTAACATCTAATAACAATGTAAACATATTAAAATTAAGTGTAGAACTTTCAATTTATATAAATATATTAAAATATATATATTTTTTTTAAAAATGGCATAAACCGGTATTTTGATCGGTATTTGCCGGTAAAACCGAAATTTTCCGATACGAAACTGGTATTTTGGCCAAAACGGTATTTGAAGTGTAACCGCACCGTTCGGACCACGGGTATCCGATATTACCGGTAATACCGGCCAGTACGGTACGGTATTTAAAAAATGGCAATTGTATAAGGGGACTTGGAGATGTTGGTGGATCATGGAATTGTTCTATTAAATTCTACAATGCAGATGAGATCATTTGCAAGGATTTTCTTTTTCATTTCGCGTTCCATTTCGTTGGGTGATTGACGCGTGTACAAATATGACTTCTTCATTTGCACATGTCATTCATCCAACGGAATGGAACATGAAAGTGGAGAAAAGAATATCTTTATGTTATCCCTTTGTGGCTTGAGAGTAAACACGGCTTGCGTGCTTTCATGTAAATTTTCTTTTCCTAAATTGTTTGTATGTTGTTTAGTATTGTTATTATTATGTTTCAATATTAAATCGATTTATTCAAAATGCTAGCGAAGGTTACGCGAGTATGTCTGAGCCATAAACAAAGAACAAGTTATTTGCTGTAATTGAATGACTGAATTACAAGATGACAACGGCAAGGGATGTGTAATAAATGGGTTCAAATATGTTATTTTCTTCATTTCCCTTTCTAAAATGTGCAATTCAAACATTTGGATATCACTGCAAGATGCCTATAATCAGTGACGAGAGAGAACGGTGATTGTGTAAATCTGGTGCGGTACTAAACTAAGTTGTAAATGGAAATTTGGAAACTCGTGCTCCAGCATCACTGGACTGGATTCTAGCTATCAAAGGTACCTGGTTTTCCAAAAGATTTGTTCAGAAAAGTAGATTTGGTCTTATGAGGCCATAACAATCAGTTTTCCGAATTTAAAACTGAGAGTGATAAATGTATTTGAGAATAAACCAACAGCACAAGAGCTGAATTCGACAATAAAGACTCCATTTTTATCCTCTACAATCCATTCCTCTGTTCAGCACACAAATTTTCTGTGAGCAGTTGTCAAATGGCTGTTTGGCAACTTTTGCAGTAAGTAATGCCTCAACATCCAAAAATGTGTTCATATAGCAATCCCGAATCAGA